TATTAACTTGTCAAAAGTTTTCTTTAAAAATTCAGTTACGCTGTCGCTGTGGGAGCTATTTAAACGTCTGCTGCACAATTATAGCCATTGTTCTTGTTAGTCCTTTTCTCTTGACGTCCTTTTGACCTTTGTATTGATTCAATGAAAGCGGTGGTTGTCGCCACTCCTGTAACTGTAGATTAAACAAACTATAGGGGATTGCAGAAATAAAGGTATACCGCCTATACATTCTCGTAAGCATTTTCAGTCGTGACTTACGGGGGCCAACCCCCATCCAGGATGTAATCTGTGTTTGTCCCATCACAGAAAACAGTTTAACGTTGTATGTTTCGTGGATTTCATTTAAATATTTCATAAAGATCCTATAAATCTTCGACATCCTGTATAATTCTGGTCCACTCTGTAAATTTTGTAGATCCTGTAGAACCAGACTTTGTAAACCTTGCATATTCTCCAAGATTCATTCTGTATATTCGTTATATTTTGCATATTCTATTTCCAGACCATTGAATTTAAAGTCTCGTTTTATAGTTTGTATAGGTTTCGCTTCCTAGCAGATAAAGTGCAAATCAAAATCATCCCCGGCATTTTTTGGGGGACAATTACCATTCAAACAGACGTGTCATTTTGGGGTTGGAATTAGTCAACTATTTTACAAAATTCAAAAGAGATTACCGAGAAGCCTATCCGGAGCCGTTAGCGCCTTCTTTTAGGGCCTTGGTTTCTGAAAAGTTAAAACATTTGGAATACAAAAATGTATTGCTACTTAAAAGGGTTAAATAGTAACTAAACCTCGACTTAGGTACTTTTAATGAACCTTTCGCTTAGGAAAAAAAAAGATTTCGTAGACCTTTTAGGGATTTAGAGTCGGCGAATCGAAGATTATGCCAATCTTATAGATATTGTGCATATTTCACAAATATTGAGAATGATTCCGGATACTTTCATGGGTCTGTATATTCTGTACACTGTAAGAGCTCGGATGAGATGATTACTGGGATCCTTTGGATCCTCGCGAGCCTTAAATTGTAACGGGTGGTACCTTTATAATTAAAAATGTCAAATTTAAAATTTACTAAACATAAGGCAATTTATTGCTTCATAGCGAACCTGAACGAAAATCTGTCTGGCGATAACAAGCCATATCAAGAAACGTATTGCGGCAAGCGAGCGCGGTTGCCACGATCTCTTCGGACTTAAAAAAATTCGTTCTGTCGTGCGAAAAGTCAGGCACGTGGGAAAAATGCGGGTTGTCTATTCGTTTAAGGGGGTAGGCGAGTCGATTTCGTTTTTCTTTTTTTAATGGGAGAGAAATTCTTGCTTGAATTTGCGAGCCGAGGGTGCGTCAAAAATTCGAAGAGGAATTTGCGAGCGATCATGTACATTATTTCATTGTACGTGAGCTTTTTTACTGTTAAAGATTTATTATAAATTGTTTTTCTCGAACAAGTGCGTACATTTTTAGTGTATTGAAATTGAATTTTTAGTGCCATTTTGTGTATGAGAGATTTCATTACGCGTACGTGGGAAGATTCGTGGTGCGAATTCAAAGACTGGAACGTGCATTTTGAGTGAATTTTATCCGTTTTATCCTGAAATTATTATTTTTTTATGGCTTGATTCGTAGAAAGTCGCTTAAACTTAGTGCATATTACCATATTAATATACTTAACCGAAATTAAAAAAATTTATTTATTGGGAGGTGACGGTTTTACACCTCGGGAACTAAAACTAAACCGTGATCACGAAATAGACTGTAGAATAGGAAGGATTCGACGATACCAAACAATTTGCATTATAAGGAACTCCGAAATCCTAGAATCTGTTCCACGGGAATAAATTTGGAGATTTGGACGAATTCGTAGAGTCGTAAGGCTGCGAAGTATTTCAATCAAAGGAGCTCTCTAATAAACAGAAGCCCTTAAGGAATTTTACTAGTTAAAAAAGGTTAATTTTCAGAGTTTATTTGAGTATCTGTAAATGACGCATTATTGGCAAGGAAATATGGAAGTACGAGGTCTCTTTGGACTCGAGTACTTTAATTTCCGAATGAAATAGATTCATTTTAGTGACGAGTGTACTACATTCTTTTCCGATATCGCCTTTTTTAATTTAAAATTTCAGATCGTAGAAAAATTTTAATTAATAATGTCTTAGTTTTGACAGGTGTCTGGCCAAGTGACAGGAGTAGTCAGGGAAAGCGTTACTGCCAGTGTGATGAGAACGAAAATTTCCGCTCACCAGTAACTTCAGAGATTAGTTTTCCTAAATGATCCACAAATTCGATCGCTTCAAGATTCCAAGGATAGGACCTAATATTTGGTTTTGAGCTGCTAGAAAAACTACTGAGGCAGCGAGTGGAGTAGAATAGGAAATGGAACAAGTAGGAACCCAGGTAAGGATTTGACCCTGACACCAAGGGATGAGTGACACACCGCCCACACGTTTGCCATCTTCTCTATTTCATCCTGTAGGTTCTAATGTAGAGGGGATTTTGAAGAGGACGACAATAGTTATTTATATAAAAGTCAGAAAACTGACACAGTACTGGCGAGTACTTTAATTTCCGAGTCAAGTAATGTCATTTTACTGACGAGTTTTGTATTAAATTGTATTCGAAATCGTATTTTAATATCAAATTTCAATTTTTATACAGAAAGCGCGTTATTTTGGTCCAAATGTCAATTTTAAATAAAAATATTTATATTTTTTTCATCAATAAAAGTTTCCGTACACTTATAACTTCATGCGAAGACTTCTTGATATAGAACCCGTTTATTTATATTTGTACGTACCTTGATAACGTTTATACACATAACAATTAACAGCAATTGCTGGATTGAAAACAAAAAGTGCAGGGATGATCCACCTGCTTTAGTCACACGATGATAAAATATGCGAATTTATTCAACCATGGAAATTTTTTCGTCTACAAAAAATTTATTCAATATAAAATTAACGTACAGGTTGTAAACTGTAATAAATAATATAGTGTAATTATACGTGGTGATTAAAGCCTTTTTTAAGGACATTGTGATCACGAACGTGTTCGCATCCACACTATGATTCATAGTATTATTGAAATATATGCATTTTATTTATCGTACAAGGTGATAAATAAGTTATTAAAAATGTTTATAATAATGATGTTAAATATTGAAAGTGTCGATTATGATTCATCCTCATTGTTCGTATAATCGACTAGAGGCGGATCTGCATATTTTTTCGTGGTACTTCTATTAATAGTCAGATCCATGACCCCTTTTTTTATTTTAGCTGCAATTTTCGCTGGACACGGGGTGTAACAGTGGTGGGAGGGGGTGGGCGTACAATTAAGCCTTACCTTAAGGTAATGAGTTTGATAGGTATCCATCTAGAAATTGGTTTCCTTGAATCTAAAACGATTTTTTTAAGAAAGGTTTGAATATTATTATAATTTTCAACTGCAACGTTTTGCCATTAGTTTTGCAGCGATGGATTTAATGGATATTGTTTAAAAGCTTTTTACATGTATAGGTTTTGTATGTTTGGTTACAACTTTTCACTACTTTTGAAACATATAGAAGAAAAATAAAAATTAAAAGTATCCAACCGGGACCAGAAGGTTGTGGACACATGAATGTAAGGATTAATTAGATTCATTTGCCAAAGGTATGCTATTTTTCCGTAATCTCAATCATTTTTTCTAAATTTTGAGAATTCTGTATAATCCCTATAGGCCTTTGTAAAGCTCATTTTTTACCAATTGGTATTACAAAATTAAATTCCGTTTAAGTATTCTTTTAAATTCTTAGTCTCTATTAGTTCTTTATTTTTGCCGCTAGAGGTCATCCGAGATACTTCTAACTATTCCTTCTTCATTAATCTGGTCTTGCGTCATTCATTGGATATTGAACTAAGGGTAGTTCAAAATACCGTGGTGACGAAAATTAATTTATTTAAGTTGAAATTAATAGCGGAAAAAATAGAAAATCTATAAAAGTGCTTGCAAAGCGGATTTCTTGTGTTTTTTCATTAATAAATTCTAATTTTGCGTTTAGTTTTGCAAGCAACAGGTACAGGTATCGCCTGAGAATTAATTTAGTGCCTTATGGACGCAGATCCCATAAAAACCAGGAAAAGTATCCATCTTCAGGAGCAAAATAAGGGAGAAATTTTCATCCTAAAAATATCTTAAATCAGTTAGTCGTGATTTATTCTATTTACCTATTTGCAGAAAAAAATTGAAGCTCAATAAATTCGATATGTTTTTTCAAAGAAGGGATGATCAACCCCTTTATTACTAAACGCCTATTCTATGCTTTTATTATTCTTTCACCGTGATAACGGGCAGTGCTAATGAAAGTAATTTCGCAATGATTAATGATCGAAATTATTGATGTAACGAACCAAAAGTCTTTGGTTGGGTTAAAAATTTGCCTTTATTCAGTTTAAAGTAGGTAGACCATTAACTTATATCTACTACATCCTGACAAATTACCTCAAAATCCACAAAACTATTTATAACTACTTTGGAACTGCAAAGTTTGCGATCGTTTATCACAATGATCATACGAAGCACCGCACCTGTACTTGCACCATAATAAATGGGCATTGCAAGTAAATTAATAATGATAGCTGTACCACACCTTTAACTTATCCCGTACCGAACGATTCGCGTCGTTAATTACATTGAGATTGCAAGTCAAACATGGCGAAAAAGCAACTGTGGGGATCCTTTTAAATATTATTCAAAAATCCGTCTACCTAAACGTTTTCAACAGAACATAAATTCGTAAGCACCCACTGAATCGGTTAGAAAGCAAAAAAAAAGGACCTCAAAATGAAAATTCCAAAGTTAAATTTATAACGATCGTATTTTTATTACCGAGTGTTTTAAAATTTAAGAAGGTAACTGTATTATGTTTACCTTTAATATTATCACAAGTGTTTTGTTAACAGCACGCGAAATTTTTCCAACATAAATATTCTTGCGTGCTCAATACAGAAGCGCACTTCGGCCAGGCATAATTTATGGAAAATATGTGTTATTCTATTCTTTACTTATATTCAAAAGAAGGATTAAATGGGAATCTAACGAGAAGCTAGTTTTCGATCGATTGCTCAGTCGTTCCCTCCCTACCCAATTATGGCCGCAATGAGTTTTTGTAATTTACATTTCATTTAGTTGGACGGCGATTGATATTGAATGCGTTTAACGAAAACTTGTGCGGTTTTTGCTGTTTGTTGTGGTCGTACCTGAACGGTGACTCTCCCACCAGATCATAGGGCGACGCCAGGTGCAGAGAGATACATCCCCAACATGATTGTTATGCGGCCTCCAGAATGTCTTGGCCATCATCTGAAAACTATTCCAGAGGTAAAATCCTGGTTTCAGGACTAGCTTATGAAGGACGTTCTTCCGTAGGAAGGATCCTGGTAGAGTAATTTGTGTGTCGACCTTTCAGGCTGTTTCAGGCACATTTGTGAAGAAAGCGAGTTCACCGGCTGCGCAAGGTAAGTGAGAGGGCTCCACCGTAACAGCGGAAATCAGTTCCATTCCGACGGAGGGGACTCGGAGGAGGGAACCTGTGCATCAGTCACATCAAAGTTCAATGTAGTTTGTCACTATAGATTCATAAAATTACGTTGCCTAAGATCCGCTGTGGACTGGATGAGTTAACCTGGAGGACAGTCAGCAACATTACAGAGGTAATTTTCAAGGAATAGGCATCGAAGTTTTGGCAGCTCTAGGCGCACAAAGTGCCTGGATTGCTATTTCTTCCAAACTAAGGAGTTTCCATTCAATATCGACACAAGCTTCTGAGGGACACTGGAAGTGTTCCGGGACGAAACGCTTCTAAGCAGGGAGCAGTATTAAACACTGTTATTTGGAGACCGAAACAGTCTACCAGGAAGTTCTTATACAGTTCCCAAACCAAGACTAGTATAGATAGTTTAATGCTAGTGTAATGAAAATCAATAAACGTTACTGTTAAGGTTGATGATGATCTCTCCGAAAAGAAACGTTGTATTAAAAAATCTGTCAAGGCTGTCTTGTAGAGCTCAAAAAGTCACATGAAAAAGTGTATCTGCACCAGAAAAAAAGAAAACGAAATCGGTAAATTTCGGTTTTTCTGACATACCTTTGGAAGTAATCGGAATTTGTGGGTTTCTGATCTTCTAGGGCGATTCCCAAGACAGACCTAGGATACATTTCAGTTTTAATGTCTTTTAGAAACCTTTTTTGAGCTCGTCTGCCAGCATCCGAAATCACTTGCGGCACTACTGGAATGTTTAAACTCTGTCCGATTCCATTTTGAATTTGCATCAAAGTTCAAAGCCAGCAGACACTTTTGCATACAAAGGCAATTACTGCATTTTAAATTCGCTATTGTATGTCTGATTCGTATTGTGTATAAAAGATCAAAGTATACACAAAATTAATGACTTAAAGTGACCTACATTTGAATGAGCGTCAAAATTTGTCCGTGGCGTTCCCAGTTTAAAAGCTAAGGGTTCCGATGGAACGCGCATTTCGTTTCATCTCGAGGCACCGACAATGGATCGTCCGGGAGTTGAGGAGTTTCTCGCTGGCGCTAACGTTCTTTTGACCGGTGCAACCGGCTTAATGGGAAAACTGACGATGGAAAAGCTTCTTCGTTCTTGCAGCGACCTGAAGAAGCTCTACGTGTTGGTCCGCGTGAAAAAAGGAAAAGCCGCCGAGGACCGACTTGCGGAGCTTTTCGAGAATGTGGTAAGTACAAAATTTTGGACGACCACTTGGCTTTGAGCTACCGTTGCAGGTATTCGATCAATTGAAAAATGAGCAGCCCGATTTTTTGAGTAAAGTGGTACTTATCCACGGCGATTGTGTTCAACCTAATCTTGGGCTGAGCGAGGATGATCAAAACATGCTGAGGGCAAAAGTGAACTGCGTCCTGCACTTTGCGGCAACCGTCAGATTCGATCAAACTATTCGAACGGCCACCTACATCAACGTCAGGGCGACGCGAGATCTTCTGAGGCTCGCCACGGAGATGCCCAATCTCAAATCTTTTGTTTACATGTCAACGGCCTACTCCCACTGCGTCCGAAGTAGCATAGGCGAAGAGTTCTACGAAACACCGATTACCGGGGAGAAACTAATAACCCTAGTTGACACCTGCAGCGAAGAATTCCTCGACAGAATAACACCAACGTAAGTTAAGCTTAAGCCCACCGTACATTTTCCACCGAGCTATTGCAAACTTCTGGAAAGTTGGCCGAACACGTACTCGTTCACGAAAGCCGTCGCCGAGGAGGTTGTGCAGTGTTTCAGTGACAGATTAGCGGTTGCCATAGTTCGGCCTTCCATAGGTATTTGATTTGGTTTGGAAACGAACATTTTTGAAATTTTTCTTATTTATTTATTGTAAATTTAGTCGGTAATTGTTGAATTCATTTAATTCAATTTAGTTTGTATGATAAATTTAAAACGAGCAACTTAGGGAACATTTAAAGCTTTATCTGGTCTGGAGTTGATAAAAAGTTGTTATCGGACAAGAATTCCAACAAACAATGCCACGTGCGCGGTAAGCGTTGCAGGTGTTTTAATTAGTTATGGCGGCGAAGATGAAATAATGAGTATCGTCGGTAATAACGATGTTGATTTTATTGGATGAGGGGCTTTTCGCGCAATTGGTAAGAATGAAAAGTAAACCGGGCTGTATCGGCTTATTTTGAAAGAAAACATAAAACAGTCCGAACTCTCTAGACTTTGTGTTCATCGAACTTTAAGGCGGTTTGAAATTCTACAAACTCGTGTGGTTGTTAACTTCTAAAGGCTTCTTTTTTTAAATTTTCAGTACTGCCAACGGCAAGGGAGCCGTTACTGGGATGGACCGATAACATGTACGGGATAGTTGGATTAGTTCTCGGCATTAGTTTGGGTGTAATTCGTGTAGCTCGTATTAAATTCGACTGTTTGGCCGATATGGTGCCGGCAGACTACTGCATTAACAATGCCATTGCCGCCGCCTGGTACGTCGGAGAGAAGTAAGTCTTCGCGGACACGAACGACCATTCACCCTTAAATTTCTTACAGAACGAACCGGGAAGTCGCCAGCAACTTCGATAATCGACCTCCAATATTTAACTTCGTAATTAGTCCCCATGCCTCCATCACTTGGAGTGAGTTTCTGTACGCTTACACTTTATATCAACGAATTATATTACAGGAAATTTTTGGAGGTGGGTAGATGCCCATTTAAGAAAAATACCAACAAAATACCTGGTGTGGTACCCTTGTTGTTTCTTCGTAGAGAATTACTACACGTACATGCTCCTCGCCATTCTTTTTCACCACATACCGGCGCATCTCGCCGACTTTGTCATGCTTTGCCTTGGACGACAGCCGTCCTCCGCGGTTCCCGGATTTTCCCATTTAAATTACCGGCCTGTCGACGGAGCTAGAAAAATCGATAAGGCCATGAATGCCATCTCGTACTTTTCGACAAGAGAATGGATGTTTTCCGACCAGAACACTCAAGAGCTATATCGGCAACTGAATGACACGGACAAGAAAAAGTTCTTCTTTGATTTGAGCAACTTCGATTGGAACCAGTACTTCCGCTCCGGGGTAGAAGGCGCTCGCGTGTACATTGTTAAGGACCCTTTGGAAACCATACGGGAAGGGAAAAAACGATACCGGAAGCTACAAATTTATCATTTCGCTTTAGTAACAGTTTTATGTTTGGGACTTTTATGGCTGTGCTATTTTATATTCAAATTATTGTTTTAAGTACGCAATTTTTGATGAACATGTAATAAGTACTAGAGTAGCATTAGGCACTTATCCGGAATAAAAGTCATTTCATACTAATTATCTATTGCACTTGAAGAGGGCAGGCGTGAATGGAAACAACCTCGCAAGTAGACAACACCTCTGGTTGAGTAGTTGAAATTTTAATTTAATTTAATAAGGATTGTCGGAAGCGTGGGCACAGCCGGTCGTTTTTGGTGATCTTCAGCCGTTTCGCCAGCTGGATTTTCCTTTGGAGGAACAGCTGAGGGGACTCCGCGTTTTGCTTTCGAGCGAAGAATTCCGACTGTACTGTGTTGTACATCTCCCGGATGGAGTCCTTCAGGTCCGTGTACGTCGGTTCGAATGCTTCGTACACGTTCCACCATTTCGTTTCCATAAGCGTTAGGTGAAATAATAATAATAATTTAATATCATAGAAGATTTTAAAACATTCTAGGACGGAGAAAAGTAGAACTTTAATTACAATTTTGCAAATGAGTCTGAAATTGACATTAATGACAAATTGAAGTTTTAATTTCTAAAAAAAATCGGAGACTGCAGTCAGATCACAAAAAAATGTGCATCATTTACTCTTTTCTTCCGGGAACAAGCCACACCTTCCGTTAGTGTCTTTGAATGCAACAAAAGTCAAAATCCGTGATTAGATCTAATTACTGTAAATCGTTCGGAGCATGTTTCAACTTTTAATTTGTTCAAAGCGCAATAGTGCATATAAATTTTAATCAACCAATGAATTCTCTAAGCTGAGTAAATGTAAATTTAATCTAAATGGTGTTAGTTGAATTGAACAGTAAGCTTTTAAAGTGACTGTAACGCAATTGAATTGGAAATTTAAAGTAAACAAACATAAAATTGATTATATTGAAAAGCGTTCGGATGTGTGTAGGTGACGTTTATGGCTTTCGCACCTTTGTATTGCTATAGTGGCACATTTTACGGTTTTAATGTAAAGTTTAATGAATACATTTAGAAAGTACTTAATCTCTTATACGACTTTTCTGTACCTTGTCGTTCAGTCGGAGCACTTTTCTTACGAGTAAGTACGTTTGCGGTTAATCTCATGGAAATGTATTAATTTCTTTTGTTGTGCTCAATTCCGGCACTTGAGAAGGCGCTGTTGCCGAATAACAACACCGCACTCGTTGCGAATTATGGTTAAGTATCGTATCCCGATATCAAATCTCGTTCATGACCTGGGGACCCAATTCCAGAAAATGACCGCTCGTTATCAGCAGTTGTAAGATCTGTCAATGGTGTTGGCACTCGCGGTGAATGTAACCCAAGGTTGTATACTCGTAGGCCAACATACTGGTGGGTAAAGCGTCTCCGAAGCTCAAGCTGGTACTTACAGTTGAATTAAATTTGAGTTTGAACTAAAATTACAACCCTAAAAGAAACCAAAGGTAACAAACTAATTATAGATGAAGCAAAGTACAAAATACACTTCAAGTAAATGAAATGCAAATGACGGTGCTTACGATATGGAAGAAAAAACGGAAATTATATCCTCTCTACGGAGTTAAAGATGAATCGCTGCACCAATTATTCCAGAATCGCATCTCTAATAAGCATTTTGCGGATCACTGTGTAATTGGGCGGAGAAATTTTATATTAAACTACGATTTCGGGTAAAATTTAATACAAAACTCGTCAGTAAAATCGGAAATTAAAGTTCTCGATCCCAAAGAGGCCTCGTACTTCAATATTTGCTCGGAAGTAATGTGCTATTTTCCTCACTTTTATGTAAATAACTATTGCTTGAACTTATGCATTGGAAAGTCGAACACACATCGGATAAAGTACTATTTTAATAATTCTGATTTCACCTTTTTAAAGTACAATTCGACATCTTCGTACCCAAAATTGCGAAAATGTAAATTTTTAAAGCAGAATATAGATCACCATCCTCTCTTTCCTACGTAAAATCAACATGAAAAGTGAAGGCGATCACCAACATCCTCTGGAAGACTTGTTATAAATGATCCTCGCTTTACATACTGAATAAACTCTAACTACTTTAATGACATTTACTTATCTTAATCTTAAGATCGGTGAAGTAGTTCGAGTGGAAAGTAAATAATGTTTACACGTGAGTTGCTTAAATAATTTCCATTTTCGCATTCACTCTTCCCCTATTAAAACCAACTTGCGCTGCACCTCTCGGTAAAGGCCCGATTAGGATTAGTCGATTGACTGCAACACGTCGAGGATTTTAATTTCTAAATAATGTCGATATTTAAATTGAGCCGACTGCGAAGAACGCGAGTAATTTCGAAAGTGAGTGGAGTATCTCAGAAATGGAAATAGACATAGAGAAAAGCTCCGGCGGTAAACAGCTCACGTTCCCGCCGCCCCGTTGAGTAATTGCATAGCCGTCATATCGAGCGCAACAAAACGGTCTATCTAAGAGAAATGTCTCCTTAATGTAATTTTTGTGAGACGAAAAAAATGGAGCGCGGGGGTCGAGTTTTACTGCCACCTAACCGTTCGTAATTTTATGATTATGGAAAGGAAACTGATTAATATTTTAGAAACGTTTACTTCTATATCTCCCGTTTTTGGAATCAAGCGAGTAAATGATCCAGAAAGTGTTTCGTTCCATTGCAAAATAACTTTATCAGTTTTACGGTGATGCATCATCTCGGTCTAATGATCCAGATCGTATTGTTACCGAAGTTGGTCATTTATTTAGGTTAATTTTTCTTAGCTTGGCCCCCTGTTAAATTTGAAATTCACGCGAGAGAAATCACGTACGGTTTTCGGGACACTTAGAGACTTGATTAAATGATCCATTAAGCTTTAATACTTTGTTTTTCTTTTGAAAAACCGTCGAAGCTGTATTATGCTAAGCACGTTCGCTTTATCTAAGGATGTGAATTAAATGAAATATTACAGAAACTCATATTTGGAACATTTTTCTGCTAAATTAACCTTTATCATCCCATATATTTGTTTGACAACATATTTTGTACACGCGGCCCATTTCGCTACCGCGGAATAGGTTATTGCTTACTATTCAAGCGGTATGAAACCATGCATTCTCTGTGCCGTGCTCTCATTTTATCTCAAGGCAGAATTTCAACCTATATGACTATGGTATTATAAAAGTTACCAACACTCAGAGCTGGGATTTTGTAAATACTTTTTAGTATTCAAATCCTTTAAAGTATTCAAATACTTTGTAATTAAATACTTTTATGGAGGCAGTATTTGTAACTCAAATACTTTTACAAATATTTAGTATTCGAATACTTCGCAAAGTATTTGAATTCGGGCCTCAAAAAAAGCAGTGAATAAACTTCCATTTTTACCAAAAATCGACTGCACCAAAATTTCTCGGGAGAACACTTTTTCTTATTAATTTTGGTGCGTAGAATCCAAAACAATTCGTACATTTTCGATCAGACTCCTCAATCAAAAGTTATAGACTAGAAACCAATTTCGAAAGAAAATTAAAGGGGCTGTAACTTTTGAACTAGTAGCCCAATCTTGGAACTGTTCGAAATTATCGATTCTACAGGCCACATTCTATAAGATATTTTTTTTCCGGGTCGATCTGAGACAATTTTTTTTTCGTGGCTCAAAAAAAGGCAGTTATAACCTTCCTTTTTTACCAAAAATCGACTGCACCAAAATTTCTCGCGAAAACACTTTTTCTTATTAATTTTGGTGCGTAGAATCCAAAACAATTCGTACTTTTTCGATCAGACTTCTCAATCAAAAGTTATAGACTAGAAACCAATTTCGAAAGAAAATTTAAAGGGCTGTAACTTTTGAACTAGTAGCCCAATCTTGGAACTGTTTGAAATTATGGATTCTACAGGCCACATTCTATAAGAAATTTTTTTTTCCGGGTCGATCTGAGACAATTTTTTTTCGGGGCTCAAAAAAAGGCAGTGTATAACCTTCCTTTTTTACCAAAAATCGACTGCACTAAAATTTCTCGGGAAAACACTTTTTCTTATTAATTTTGGTGCGTAGAATCCAAAACAATTCGTACTTTTTCGATCAGACTTCTCATTCAAAAGTTATAGACTAGAAACCAATTTCGAAAAAAAATTCAAAGGGCTGTAACTTTTGAACTAGTAGCCCAATCTTGGAACTGTTTGAAATTATTGATTCTACAGGTCACATTCTATAAGGAAATTTTTTTCCGGGTCGATCTGTGACAATTTTTTTCTGGGCTCAAAAAAAGGCAGTGTATAACCTTCCTTTTTTACCAAAAATCGACTACACCAAAATTTCTCGGGAAAACACTTTTTCTTATTAATTTGGGTGCGTAGAATCCAAATAAATTCGTACTTTTTCGATCAGACTTCTCAATCAAAAGTTATAGACTAGAAACCAATTTCGAAAAAAAATTCAAAGGACTGTAACTTTTGAACTAGTAGCCCAATCTTGGAACTGTTTGAAATTATGGATTCTACAGGCCACATTCTATAAGAAAAATTTTTTTTCCGGGTCGATCTGAGACAATTTTTTTTTCGGGGCTCAAAAAAAGGCAGTGTATAACCTTCCTTTTTTGCCAAAAATCGACTGCACCAAAATTTCTCGGGAAAACACTTTTTCTTATTAATTTTGGTGCGTAGAATCCAAAACAATTCGTACTTTTTCGATTGGACTTGTCAATCAAAAGATATACACTAGAAACCAATTCCGAAAAAAATTCAAAGGGCTGTAACTTTTGAACTAGTAGCCCAATCTTGGAACTGTTTGAAATTATGGATTCTACAGGCCACATTCTATAAGACAATTTTTTTACGGGTCGATCTGAGACAATTTTTGTTTCGGACCTCAAAAAAAGGCAGTGTATAACCTTCCTTTTTTCCCAAAAATCGACTGCACCAAAATTTGTCGGGAGAACACTTTTTCTTATTAATTTTGGTGCGTAGAATCCAAAACGATTCGTACTTTTTCGGAACTGTTTGAAATTATGGATTCTACTAGCCGCATTCTATAAGAAAATTTTTTTTCCGGGTGGATATGAGACAATTTTTTCTACGTGCCTCAAAAAAAGGCAGTGTATAA